AATGATCAGACCAGGTGCCAAGCCAACTGATCCAAATATAAATTCAATTCGACCTGTCCCAACATTATAGCAGGCTTCCGACGGCATCCATCCGGATGAAATTCGTCGCAGAGAGAAGCTCCCTTTTGGGTGGAACATTGTTCTATAAAATCATTACACGACACCTATACGACTGTCTAACCAAGACAACCACGTAGCCGTTTCCCGGACAAGGATACCTCTCACTTAACTGACTAATCAGGTCAAACAAGTGTTCGCAGTAACCATCCGTGTCAACCAACCGACTGAACTACTTGGGATAAGAACAGTTGGTATCTTATGAGTTAATAGCCAACAAACATTGGCGAATAAAGGGGAACAACCGGTACCCACCGCTTGATACCTCTACTACTCAGTCACTTGGCGACTAGTAACAATTATGTTTCCATGGTCACTCCTTAAAAATTTAGTATGAAGCTAAAAAGGTGTTCATACAGCGCCTGTTCACACTAGATTAAAAGTGGCGGGGAACAGTCGGCCTGGACCGACTAGAGTCTCTAGCTTAAAAAACAAAGAAACAAACAAGGCAGGTAGGAAACCACCTTCCTACTTGGTTGAAGGAAATCCATTCTTTAAAGTGGCCGACTGATCGCTTAGCCTGGAAACAGACAACCAGTCGTCCAGGAGCATAGGTGGCGTGACTAACTATCTCGTACCTGTCCGCAACTATCGGCCATGCAAAACAGTCGGTATAGTGTGCAATTGGATATCAGAGTATTCGATACTTAAACAAATTTGGATATCAGAGTATTCGATACTTAAACAAATTTGAAACAAAACAAAAACGAAATATTTTGGCATAAAAAGAAGCCGGTCATTAAAGACCGGCCAAATATTCAGAACCCCGGCCCTCTGGCCGGGTAAATAGAAACAAACGGCACGCAGGCCGTGAAAAGAAGACATAAAGCTTAGGAAGGGGGCAGATCTTCAATAATAGCAGCTGCCGCCTGGTCAGCACTCTTTTTGATGGACTCCGCTTCAGCTGCACCCTTCTTTTCTTGCTCGGCCTTTTCCGAGAGCTCCTGAGTAAGACTCTTCTCCTGGGTCACCAGGCGTTCCTTAACGTGCGCCAAGGATTTCTCCAAGGTGTCGTATGAGGACATTTTTTGGCGAAGAGGTCTCAACTCGGCCTTGAGATTGTTGATGGTCGCCTCCAGCTCGCTATTTTTCTTCTGGGCCGCCTCTAACTGAGCCCGGATAGCAGAAATAGCCTGCGCCTGATAATAAAGAATGTCAATTTTCAGAACCTCATTTTGGGCAATTTGAAACATTGCCTTATCACAGTCAGAGGCGACCATAGCTTTTGCAGCCTTTACCTCTTTGTTCTTCCTGTCAAGCGGCTTGCGAAGGCCGTTCACTCGGAGCAGGGCCTAAGTAAAAGGGGAACAGGCGTCAGTTTTCAAACAAAAAACAGGCATCTTGGAATTTAAATAACCAAAAATATGCTAAGTATACCTCAGCAAGGACCCCTGCAATCCCGTCTAGGTCAAGGGTGCCGACACCCCTGATCGCCTCCCTTTCAGCTGGAGGAACGGCCTTGATCATAGACTTGGCCACCTCGACCAAGTCAGGCTCCTGAGGGCCGGCTGCATCAACCATTAAACAAACGAGTTAGACCTAGTAAAGAAGGGAGAAAGTCTAAATTCACAAAGACAACTTCATACTTCTAGGCGGCCCAATTGGAGTTTTATAAGGAGTGGCCGGCTGTTTCTCAGCCGCCGCATGTTTCCTGGCAAAACCAAGAGAGCTCGCAACAGTCGTCCTCCGGGTCTTGGAGTCCGGCTGTTGGGAAGAAGAAGCTCTTGGAGCGCCCGACTAAAAAAAAAAAAACAAACAAACAAAAACAAAACAACACTCGGTCAGTATATGCATAAACCCAACTCTAAAAAGAGAGTGAAAGGTTCGAAGCTCACCAAGGGCGCCCCCTTGTTGGGGGAGTCGGTTGAGGACTGTTGCATGATGGAGGCCCGCAACATGGCCGCCGCAGTCTTGGAGGCGGTAATTTTGCTCATGGCGTCCGCTGCAAAAACATATAGCAAAGTTAATAAAAAGTCATAACAGTAATGCATGGAAAAACAGAGTATTCGACAGGCCGGCTACCTCTTGAGCACCGACTGCTGAGGCCATAGGCGGCCAAAAAGTACTCGTCGTAGAGCCATTTGAAGCTCGGGACGCAGTGCAGGGGTACTTGCTCTCGTACCCCTGAAGTAGAGTCAACCCTCGACTCTACTTTAAAGAGTCCTTTATCCAGGATCTCTTTCTTAGCTTTGGGGGGAACAGGCGGCATGCTGCGGCCGCCTGCAAGAAGAGGCGGATTCCTGTTCCACTTGTTGAAGCGCTTGTTCAGCTCTGTGTCTGAACTCTCAATGATAAGGAAGGTACTTCGCCAGTCCTTCCACTTGTTTGCTTTACCTCTTGTCATGAGGTAGCCTCTATGGCTTGTCAATTGATACCAGCCGGTACCGCCTGCCTTAGGGGTCCGGCTGAGGTAATTCATGTGGGCGAAAGCCTCGAAGTTTGGCTCCACCCCGTGCAGTTCGCACCCGGCCACATAGCCGAGTACGTTGACCCAGGAGTTCGGGGCTAACTGCCATAACCCCAACTCATACCCATCCAAAATCCGCTGAACAACCGGATGTAGTGGGAAGCGCAGCCCAGCCTTGATGGCCGCCTCGTAGCAGCCAAAGCAGGCGCCATCATAGCTAGTACCAGCCGGCCAGACGACTGTGTCTTCTGGATCCGGCACGAACACCAAAAAGTCGGGGCCCATTGTGTGGTTTGCAATAAAGCTCCCCACTTTCACTTGCATGGCCGTGATCCGGCCCCGTGGGACAGTGCAGTAGTAGGGGGTATTTTGCTCTCGGTAAGAGGCGAATGGCTCCGCCCAATTGTCCCCCTTCTCAACTGCGTGAGAAAGCCTCGCCTCTTGTAGGCGACTGTTTTTCTCTTATGTGTCCAGAGAAGCATGGCCAGAAGAGCTAGACTCGGAATCGTCCTCTGACGAGTCCGAAGAGGACGACTCCTCCCCTCTCCCAGAGGGGCTCGCCTCTTCTCCTTTAAAAGGAGCAGGAGGGAATGTAGACTTGTCAACTGTAAAATTGGAAGGGGTCACTTTGACTCCTCCCTCAGAACTGTCGGCTTTCAAGCCGCTTTGGTTCACTTCCACATCTGGCGCCTGGTCAGATGTTTCACTAATCGGCACCCTGTGGGAGGAGCCGTCTGAGTTCGAAATCCTAGCAGTTCTTTTTGTTCTGGCCATCATGTTCTGCATAGACACAGAGACAGTCGGACTTTGTATAAAGGGCAAAGATGGGTCCGGAAAAGGGCAGGCGGCACTCCTAGTCCTAGATTCAGCCGTCCCCGGTGACCGACTGATCACTAACCTAGGTCGTGTCGTGTGCTTCTGTGGTGCCATTTAAAAAAAGAATAAAATAAAGAGAAAATTAAGAGTAAGAGAACCGACGGTTACCTGAACGAGTGAAGTTGATGGAGTTCTGAAAATCCTGTGCAGTCGGCTTGTCAGAGCAGGCGGTAGGCAGAAAGGGTCCGAAATGTCAGAGCAAGTTCAGGGGTCCGAATGTTCTCTCAAAAAGTTCTCAAGTGTGAAAATGACTGAAGTCAACACTCCCTTATATAGGCGAAGTGAGAAGGCGAAGGGTCACTTCCAAAATTCAAAATTTGGGCGGGAGAATCTCTCGGCCTTTTGCCGAGTGACACCTGTAGCAGGCCGTCGCCTGTCACAGTGCGACATCTGTCACAGGTAACACGTGACCAGTCACGTGCCACCTGTGAGGGGAAAATGATTAGGGGATTTTGCTCCCACCAATCGGAATGCGCCACGTGGGCCAATCAGGTCCTGCCAAGTGTCCCCCAGTTGGAACTGTCAGGGCTTGCCACGTGGCACACGCCTATTCGTCCACCCAGGATCTATTATGTCATGACACGTGGCATCCTCCATGCCTAATGGAGAAACCGGTCACCTAGGCCCAACTTCCAAGGGAAGCCCAATCAGCCCTAGGTTAACCTAAACCTAGGATTGGCACGTTTCCCAAGGTTATAAATACCTCCCTTAAATCCTCATTAAGGGAGATTACGCACATTAAACACTCTCACCTAGAGAGACCCAATCACTTTTATTTCCGCATTAATTACTCCTTAATCAAGTACTAACTTGACCGTCGGAGGCGGATCTCCAATCATCCGGAGCATCCGTTTGTTTTGCAGGTACAGGCGTCCGGTTCCAGTTTCGGAATTGTAACCCTCCCGCAGGACATCAGAAAACCCCGAAACAATAATAATCATCAATAAATAATAATAATAATAATAATAATAATCAATAAATAATAATAATCATCAATAATTGATAATAATAATAATAATAATAATAATAATAATAATAATATGTACATTTTTATATACACATATGTATAGTAATAAATAATCAATAAATAATCAAAGATCACTAATCCGTAGTTAAAATTACTAATTAATAAGTTTATTTCAGTTCAGTTCAGTTCAGTCAATCGGAACAGGCCCTGAGTCTCACTATTGTTGATCTATTTACTAAAATGTCATGCTAACTGGAATATATTGTTGATTTAGGCCATGTTCAATTCACCTTACAAAAATAATATTCAGTAAAAATAATTTCAGTTTAGCAAAAGAAATTTCAGCTCAGTAAAAATAATTTCAGTTCAGTAAAATCACTAAATTTAAAAAAGAAATATTATAGAAAATCTATAAAAAATAATTTTAGTTCGGCAAAAATAATTTCCGTTTAATAAAAATAATGTGAATTAATAACGTAGAGTGAATTGAGACCTATTTACAGAATTGCTACAAATAAACGATTTTTTGTTTATCATGAATACATATGGGCCTCCCTCCAAGTAGGGATGGCAACGGGTCGGACTCGGAGCGGATTATGCTAAATCTGACTCCGACCCGACAGGAAGTTAGAGGTTAAATCCGACTCCGACTCCGACATCTGACTCTGACTTCGACTTCAATATCTGACCTCCGACCCTGATTCCGATCCGACCCGACTTCGAAATTTTTTTTTTTCATTATTCAATATACTTTGAGATGTTGGGCTATTTGGGGCTTTACAACCATACCCAATGCCACCATGACCCACACAAAAATCAACTATCTATTGGAGTCGGAGTCAGATAATCCGTTAAAGTCGAACATTTGTCGGAGTCGGATTTTTTTTTGGATTTTTTGTAGGATCCGACTCCGACTCGGAGTTAAATTATTTTAAATTACAACGGAGTCGTTGTTACCATAATTCTAACTACTAGGTAATAAATATTTTCTTTTAAAAATACTTTCCCTCCTTTTTTTTTGGTTTTTTCTGGTTTCAATTTTTTTTATATAGTTTTTTCTGCACTTCATCTTCCTCACATACACCCTTGAAAGTCTCATAACTTAGAATGTTTGGCGAAAATGTGGTGCAATGGACATCAAAAATCCAATCTTACTCGCAAAAAGGTTTGTTTAACAGAGCACTTTCTTTGTTCCTTAGTATGCGAAGAGCTGGGGTTAAACCAAACGAAGTTACCTTCTCAACCACCTTAACTGTTTGCGCTCAATCAATCCACAAATCATTCGGTTTAAGCTTGCATAGTTTAATTCTCAAGAAAGGGTATCAGAATCAGCTTTTTGTTTGTGGTGGGTTGATCTCTATGTACGGTAGTTTTCGTCGGATAGTCGATGCCCGCCAAGTGTTTGATGAAATGCCTGACCGAGATGAAGTTGTGTGTAATTTGATGATTTCTAAGTATTCGCAAAATGGGTTTTGTTATGAAGCTTGTGGGTTGTTTTGTGGGATGGTTAACGGGGGTGTTTATTGGAGGGGTTTTGTGAGTGATTTTAGTCTTGCCAGTGTTCTTAATGCTTGTGCTCATTTAGGTTGCTGTGAGTTTGGTGAGTCTGTTCATTGTTTTGTGATTAAGCTTGGTTTTGATTCGAATGTTTTTGTTGGTAGTTCTCTTGTTGGTATGTATTCAAGTTATGAAGAGTTGGGTAGTGCGCGTGCTGTATTTGATCGATTGGGAACTATGGATGTTGTAGTGTGGAATACTATGATTACTGGGTATGCTCATAATGGTTATGAAGAAGAAGCGATTGAATTATTTCTTGAGATGGAAATTCGGGGGCTTACTCCGAATTATACTACATTTTCGGCTGTTGTAGATGCTGCATCTGTGATGCCTGATGAGACACTTGGTAGAAAACTTCATGCTAAATCATTGAAATTTGGTATATTATCTGATGTTTACTTGGGTACTGCAATTGTTGATATGTACTCCAAGTTTCTGATCATGACTGATGCTAAAAAAGCTTTCTCTGAGATGGAGAAAAAGAATGTAATATCATATAATGCGCTTATTACTGGCTATGGTTTGATTGGTGATCATGAAAATGCTGTTAAAAGTTATACACTGCTGAGACTTCGGGGGATGAAACCTGATGCGTGCACCTTTATTGGTCTTCTTACATCTTGTTCTACATCTTGTGCCTTTGTTGTGGGGGAACGAGTGCACTCAGATTCAATAAAGCTTGGCTTGGACCGAGATGTATTAGTTAGGAATTCAATTGTAAACTTTTATTCGAAGTGTGGGCTAATTAATTCTGCAATAAAAGCATTTGAGTCTGCACAGGGGAGTGAAATTGTTTCTTGGACAGCCATTATCTCAGGACTTGTCCAAAACAATGAACACACCAAAGCTCTTGAGGTGTTCTGTGAAATGCACAGGCTGTCGGAAAAGGCAGACGAATTTTCTTCCTCTAGTGCCATCAAGGCAGTAGCTAATCTGGCAGCTGTTGCACAAGGAAGGCACCTCCATGGGTATGTGCAGAAAGTGGGCCTGACCCACCATATATTTGTTGGAAGTGCACTAATTGACATGTACTCCAAATGTGGAATGGTAGAGGATGCTCATAAATTGTTCTCCGAGATGCCTGAGAAAAATGCCGTCTCTTGGAACTCAATGATAGCAGGTTTTGCTCAAAATGGTTACTCTGATAAAGCATTACACCTGTTCCATGAAATGGTGAGTTGTGGGGTCTTGCCTACTTCAGGAACCTTTGTTGGAGTTCTTCTTGCTTGTTTTCATGCAGGATTAGTTCAAGAAGGCAGACGCTATCTCCAACTAATGGAAAGCCACTATGGTGTTTCACCTTCTGTAGAACACTACTCCTGTATGGTGAATCTCCTAGGTCATGCTGGTTATGTTAAGGAGGCGGAAGAGTTTCTTCTTAGTTCACCCTTCAAAGGGGACTATGAAATGTGGAAGTCTCTCCTCACTTCTTGTGAAGCGCACAGAGATTTTGATGTTGCTGCTCGAGTTGCAGAGTATTGTTTGCACTTGAATCCCAATGACTCCTCAACTAATACCATTCTCTCCAACATATATGCCAGTAAGCAGTTGTGGTCAGAAGTTGAAAGAACACGAGATTCGATGAAGGTGGCAGATATTGTGAAGGAACCTGGGTGTAGTTGGATTTAAGTGACTGGTGCTGTGGGTTATTGTGATTGGGGACCTATATTTTTTCTCCTTCGTCTCCTGGAGTCCCACTGAGCTTTCCAAGACGTTTAAGGATTGAGGCTATCAACTTCCTTTGCTTCTGCAGCCCTGCAGGGATTGTGGTTTAAATGATTTACTTCATTTTCAGGGTGCAGCAGACTACTGTGAGTCTAATGACCCATTCGCTACATCTGGATATACATTTGCTTTTAACCTGAGATAACAAACAAAACTAAACAATACTATAATTTTGAATGAACCCCAATTTCATAGCTGGCTCTTCCTTTCAGAGTTTCAGACAATTAGCTTTTTGATCATATATACAGAAAAATAAGACTTACATTTGCTCCATCACTCTAAATCCGAATAGGACATATTTGTTGCAGAAAGTTGAAAAATAGAACATGTCTGCTAGTATGTAATTCATGAGGCATCTATGGGAGGAAGACTATGAAATTCAACAACACTCGGAGAACATAGACAGGATACTCACTGCAAAACTGGTGCGTTCCTTCAGGTATTGTAGTGTTGCTACTGTTTGTGTCTTTGTGCAAGGTGCATGAGAAGACTTCCACAAATTCACATGACCATCTGTTAATCGTCTGGATTTGTACTAATGTTTGTGGGAGATGTGCTTCATACTAAAACAAGAATCAGTCAATATTAGACTTGACTTGCTTATTAAGGGCTTCTATCTGGACATCTGAATCCATTTGATCATTTCTGGACTATGGAGCATGATGCCAGACTGCCAGGCTACCAGCACTCAGTTATAATGATTGGTAATTTTCTACAGTCTTCTCCCGCTCATTTGGGATCAGCTTTTCCTGACCTTTCTCTCAGCTCACATAACATCCTTTGAGTTATAATTTACTAAATATCAGCACAACTATCAATTCTCCACCTGATGTTTCTACAACTATGGATGGTCTAAGCTACATACTGGCAGATAGGTTTGCTTGAATTTTGCTAGATTGTACAGATAGTGATTCGATTGGGGAAAAAAAATGAATTTTGGAGTAAATAACAATCGTTAGATGCTAAATTATCTGTTTTCTTTTTAAATTGTAAAGATGAGATGCTTAGGATAGTATTATTGGGCAACTTACCAAGTAAAATGGGTTAATATGAGTTTCTTGTCTACATTTTCAATTGATTTCTTAATGTTAAATGCCAATTTGTTTCGTAAATAGATTATGGTCTGAATCATAATGCATTGCAATGTAATATGCCCAAGGAGACTTCAATTTGCAAGACATAATTTTTTTTTCCTGAACCCATTCTATAATTTCTGGATAAATGTAAACATTCCTATACATGTATATTTTAGTATACTATATTCCATTGCTGAGAAGAGTCTTTTACAAGCAACTGAAGAATGTATATACTATAACCTAACCTTCATGTCTATTGAAGTCTCAGCTACAGATAGTTGTGTCCTCAATTTAGCCTTTTCATTGAAACTATTCTGTAATACATGTTTACATGTAGCTCGTGAAGGCTACGAGGATGGGCCTAGCACCGTACTGTCATCTCTGCAGTTTATTGGTTATGCAAGTTCATCTGTAGCTGGCTGTTTGGCATTTGGCTAATGCAAGAGTGATAACCAACAGTCAAATTCCTTTGTTCTCCCAGCAATGAGGTAAATTGAGAAGTTACATACTCCTATTTATGGCAGCAGCAATATGATGGAGAGGAGAGAGAAGGGATAGGCGTAAGTTTCAGTCCAGAAAACTTCATCATAGGTGTTGTTATTGGTTTCATTTTCGGGTTTCTTCTTGATTTAGCTAAACCCTCCAAAAACCCACCTAAATCTTAACACCAAACCAAGAATTGTTTAACTTCAGCAGTTCAGCCAACCCAGATGAAGAATTTAAGATGTTACTTTCCAGAATACTTTTAATTTCTGGCTAAAATGAAATTGTAAATTGTGATTGTTATGCTACATCCTATTGTGAAATTGTAGAGGTATTTCAGTATTCGGGCTATGTTCGGGTTTGGTTATCATGTCATGTCGATTTTTGCCAGCTCTTCTAATGAACGTTGTTGGATTAAATGTTGGTTTGTGTTATCATATAGTATGCCTTTTTGGATCCTTTATTTTGTTAACAAGTTATGAAGTTTTTCTATTTTGCCATTTTGGGGGTTATAAAAATTGTGACTGAAGAGAATTTGGCCAAGTTTTGCAGAAAGGTTAGTGCTTGATGTGTACAGTGTACTGTGTACTTGAGTAGGGGTTTAAAGGTTGTGTGTTAAAATTCATGAATTATTCAACGGATTTTCCTGAATAGTTTAACATGGGAGGCGAATTTGGGAAGTGTGTCATGGACTTTATTTTCCATAGTTAAATAACTAATACGAGTACTTTGTATAGAATATAGTGTGATATTTTTTGCTTGCATTTTAATTTCAGTGTCAGTATCCATTGTAGACATCATTTGATATGTGATTCTTCATGGTATTGTTTGGACTTATTTTCTGCTTTGGTGGATTTGATGAAGATTCTTGTAGAAGAGTAATCACTAGGCTTAATTATACATCTTCCATATCCTGGCATTTTACATTTAATATGTTTTAGAGACCATGAAACAGCTACATGGGTGCTATATCATGTTTGTTTTGTTTTGCCTTTTCTGTCTCCTGATAAGTTTTCGTTATTTCTGATGCTGCCACAAGCATGTATGCGATGCTGATGCAAAGGTTATATCCTCTATCTCAAATTCTCAGCTGATGAACATCCTTGTTCAGCAGAAAGTTTGATAGATTGTGTTGTTTAACTTTCTAAGGCCATGTTCTTTTGAGTTGTTCTGCTCTGCTCTGCTTTGCTGAATCCTGATCTGCTTTGCCCTGCTAGAAGCTCAAAAGAACAAGGCCTAATTTACTTTCACTTCCTTTTGGCTGTATTTCCCTATCCAGTTATTATCTCCTATATAAAATCAATTGCACGTGTTTTCAGAATGTTGCCTTTTCTTTTAAACCTAATCCACTATGGATAGAAGAGAATCAAGAGTATCTTGACCTGCAATAGCTTTTTACATCTTATAAGAGTAACTTGACATATAATTTGTGAGCTGCATTCATTTAACCTCTCAGAGCAAAATGTGGGTCACTATTTACATAATATGTATTATTTTGGTGAATTTTGTACTTCTCACTGCTTGTTGCAAAGAGTATTTCAGACTGCTTGTTGCAAAGAGTATTTGATGGCGAACTTTCCTAGTTCTCTATTGATCTGGAAGATGTAGGCAATGGTTTGATGCTATTAGTGCGGTTCTCTATGCTTTGATGGTATTAGTCTCAAAAGTGGGCACTAACTGTAGCTATTATAGTCAGCGTTTCCTGTTGAGGCAGTGGGACACTGGGAGCAATGTGGGCAGGCTAAAATAGTAGTGACATGCAAAGATCAAAAAGAAATGCAAGTATGTGCTGTATTTTTTTGCCAGGCTTTCATTGTCCATGCACTTGCAGCGTTTACAAATTTTCTATCTCGATTTAGGAATAAGTTGCAGCAAGACGCTGAGGCCTTCTAACTTTTGTTGTTGCAGATGCTTGGCGCACACATATATTCCTCTTTTGTAAGAATTATAGGTAAATATCATGGTAAATATAATAAAGCATAACTTATATTCAATACGTAGTATAATATATTTACTTTTTTTTTTTTTTGAGAAAATATATTTACTTATATTTACCTATAATAGATGTTATGTCTTTCATTATTAAATACGAACATCCAATATATTCTACTAATATGAATATATTTAAGCTCTAACATGAAAAAAAAAAAGCTCTGACATGAAATTTTTGGAATATCGACAACATCGTGCAATTGAAGCATTGAAATTATAAAGCATAACTTATATTAATCTTATTATCTATATTCCAATAATAAAGCGTGCTTTTGATTTTGACATGTTTATATATTTACATTCATCCCTATTACAGGCATCAAAGATGCAAACAGGTGTTAAGCAAATGTTCATTCAGCGAATTTTTAAAATTTGTGAACGAAGACTCAACTTCCATCATTTCAAGTTATGAAGAAGTTTAGCTGGCTTGTTGTGTTGTGTATTAGAATTACTGCAGTGGATTAGGCTTCTCTAAACATAGCTTAAGGTCATTAAGATGGTCTTTTTGTATGACAACAATTGACAATATAAAATTTGGTTGGTTAATTAGTACAGTACAAGTTGAAAGATTGAGTGATACTGGCTACACTATGGATAACATAAGCTATTTGCACGATTAATCGATTAGTAATTTTCTCAGCTTTTAATTTTCAGGAGGGTCAAGGCCAACAAAACTGAAAACTGGTTGTTGCTTAACACAAAAAATGTAGTGGACGTTCTGTATTCATCATAGCCCAAAACACCAAGGGCGTATTGTCTACCTCAGACGACAACTTTGTTGGTCTAGTAACAGCAAACCTCATAGGTTCAAGATACTACGGAATAACGTACAACTTTATTGATAGCATGATATAAAGGACCTTCAATTCTAGTCAATAAAATAGTGAAAAATAGTAATAATAATTCATTTCTGTCTAAATTCGCGATTAAAATGTGAATTTCTGTGTAACACGAGTTGAAAAATCAAGATTGCTTGAGGCTATTGTTGAGTAAAGCACCTATGATCCTTCTCTTAATGCCTGGAGCAATAATAGGTCATATTATAGGCACAAAAACCAATCTCTAATTAAATTTGATTTCGGTGCAAGTTTACTCCCACCAATGGTTTTAACCCAGAAATATGAAAAACATTGTGTATCTTTGCAGAACTAGGTATCTAGATGTAGCCTATAAGCTACTTTTCCAATGACTGTAATGAATTTGAAAGGGCCAAAATACTTGGCTTCCAGCTTGTTGTTGCTTGACAGGGTAAAGTCGTATTCCCTAATCAAAAATAATTCCTAAATCCTCTAACTAAAGCCGATAGGGAAGTAGGGTCGATCTCTACAGGGAAACAAGTCTTTCTATTCCTAATTAACTAAAATAATCTAGATTATGAAGTAACCAATATTTATAAATGAATAAGAAACTAAACTACTAAGATTGAAAATAGGGAGAAAACAATATATAAAAGGATGTAGGGCATAGGTTCACCAATAAATAATACTCCAGGGTAAAACATAGTAATCAATCATTGACATTGCATAAATAACACGATTAACAGGCTCTCGCAATTTATTAATCAACATAGATCTAAGAGGCTCTCGCAATTTACTAGATCTAAGTTCTTATTGAAAATAGCCTTTAATATCAAATTAACATCTGCTCGATTCATCAATTCAATATTGCTATACTTTTACAAGCCGTAATTGTAAAACTTAATTCAATAAAAAATTATCATGCAATACCAATAATCAATAATAGTCAATCATCAATGCATCAATCAACCAGATTGTAAAGGGCTTTCGCTACGTATTACAATCACACAATTAATTTATTGGTATTAAATCTCATCTCTCGGATCTCGACTTAACCATTTATAAATTGAACTAGACCTAAACATCAACTTTCATCTCTCGAATCTCGAATCAATGTTGTCAAACTCATGCATAAAAGATAGGCCTAATCTAGTCACAGAGCATTAAATCAATCAATGGGAAATTAATCTAGCATTGACAATCAACAACAACAAATTACCCCTTCATATTATTTATGGATCCCCTTAAACCCTAGAATTAAAACTACTCACACATATTAAAAACTAAACTAATCAAAGCAATAAAATAAGTCATGATGAAAGGAATAAAATAAACAACTAAGATTAAGAGAAGAGAAATCGTTACCAAAGTAAATCTGGAATTAAGGGTAGATTAAGAACAAAGGTTTAAGAGAAAGAAATCTAAGAGAACAATTAAGATAGTAAAGAAAGAGTAAAAAGAGAGAGAGGAAAGATGTCCTAAAATCGTACTACGGAGGAGTATTTATACTCCGTACAAATCCTAAACTAAAACAAACTAAAACGACGCTAATCGTCAACTAATAAATACACGCGCCCGATCGGGCGAGGCACCGCCCGATCGGGCGCGCCTTTTTATCCCTAATACTAATCTCGTGCCCGGCCGGGCGCGTCACCGGGCGCCAGCCTTAGCTCCTCCCGCCCGGCCGGGCGCCAGCCTCTTTGGCCGGGCGGCTCACTTGGGCCACTATTTGGACTATGATTGGGCTCCAATTCTTCGAGCCAATCTGGGTTTCCTCTTCCGATCTTGAATACTCGGTCCAAATGCCTCGATATCACCTATACCGAGCCCTTAATCACCGGTTCGATGGCTCTAACCGGCCCTGGGCTATAAAATCTGGTCGTGCTTCTCCAATGTTCGTGATTGCTCCAAAATATCTCGGGAAAATACTCTAAAAGCATAAATCCCTACAAAAGTCAACCAAATCTACGAAAACACTAGAAAGCACTAATTAGTAATAAAAGTGGCTCTAAAGAGCCAAAAACACTACTAATTATGACCAAGGGACGGGGGTAAAATACTATATAAAATAGACACATCATTTCTCCTGTAAGAGACAGAACGTTGCTTATAATGCTGTAATTTTGTCTTTCTGATCTTTTTTATCATCCTGCATTTTTATTCTATTCTGTGCCTTCATTAGTCCTTGAGTATCTTCAATACCAGTTCTCTTTGTTGCATACAACGATCCACTACTGCATTATTTAACTCTTCAGGCAGATAGGGAAGGTGTACAGGTGCTTGACAATACACAGCTTCATAGGGAGACATTCCCGCTGCAGAGTGAAAGTGAGTATTGTACCACCATTCAGCCATAGGTAGAAACTTACACCAATCCTTGGGTCTATCACTAGTCATGCACCTAAAATAAGTCTCAAGACAAGAAAGCAGGAATTATGTTCCCTGTAGAGTAAATAAGCCTTTCCAGAATTGGCTCACAATGCTTCTAGGCCAACCATGGAGCTTAAAAACATAGTCTAGATAAGCCTAAGCTACCTCTACTACAGAGAAAGAGTGTCTCAGTGCCATGAAATGAGCATATTTGCTCAGTCTATTAACTACAACAAAGATGACATTCATTCTCATAGACATAGGCAACCCAGTGATGATGAAATCCTAGATATGTTAGTCTAGATGTTTTCAGGAATAGGTAAGGGTTGTAGAGCACCAGGTTTAGCTGCAGTTTCATAATTAAAAGCTTGACCCACACCACACACTTTCTGACAAACTAACCAATGTCTTTAGCCATCCCCCTCCAATAGAACAGGCCTTGCATTCTTTTGATTGTCTTATCTCTACCAGAGTGTCATGCTTCCATAGAAGCATGATGTCAAGAGATCAACTTACCCTTAAGAACAATATCAAGTCCAATAACAATCATTCTATGTCTTCTAATCAGACCATCCACCAAGTTAAAACCAGCCACAACATCACCTTGGTTAAGTTTCTAAAATAAGGATTTGTTGTTATCATCCTTATCATAGTTAGCTCTAATAATATGACTCAAATCAGAGTCAATTACTGAAATTTCCATAATTAAAATTTCAAATCCAGGAACTCTGGACAAAGCATTAGCTGTAGAATTGTCCTTGCCAGCTTTAACTGAATCTCAT